GTCTGAATACTTAGGACCATTTGATATTTCAGTTTTTCTTTTTTAATATATCTGCAAAAATGTCAACAATTCTGTGTTTTTCTGTCAATATGGGGTGCTGTGTGTACATTAATGAGGAAAAAAAATTAACTTAAATGATTTTAGCAAATGGCTGCAATATAACAAAGAGTGAAAAATTTAAGGGGGTCTGAATACTTTCCGTACCCACTGTATATATATATATATACACCTTGCTACGTGTACTGTGTTAGGCTAACCGAGACTTGTCATTTGCACTTATATATTGTTGCTCTTTTGTTAGTTTTGACTGCTTTTATTGTCCTCATTTGTAAGTCGCTTTGGATAAAAGCGTCTGCTAAATGACTAAATAAATAAATAAATAAATAAAAATAAATAAAACAGGCATTCTTTTATATTTTACTATTTTTTTTTCTTCTTATATTGTTTATAATTAATAGATTGAGGAATACTAAGAAAGTTGATGTTTAACTTTAAAAACTGAAGGAGGGAGAGGGTAGAGAATGATGTCCCGGGTCGCTAAAGACCCGATGTATGCATTTAAAGGTTAACAAAAATATTCTCTTAAGTTTTTACTTACTGAAAGATATGTGTTTCAAAGGTCACAGTCTACAGGAAACTGGAGACTGAATACAGCAAGTGGTCCTGGAGTCTTCGCAGTGCCATGATGGAATCTGAGAACAAACTACACAACAAAATAGAAAATGAAGCAATTCATGAAGTTGAGGAAACTGATCTTCAAAGAGAGCTGAAGAAGACAAGTGAAGAAGTAGAAAAGTCAATGTCTGAATTCTTTGAGAAAGACAAAGATAAAGATATACTGATTCAGTGGAAAACATCATTTGAAATCAAAATCAAAGAGCTTCGGGAAAACATTGTGAGAGAAACAAAAAGGAAATTAAATGGGATTCTTGATGCTCAGAGGACACATCATGAAAACACTCTCCATGAAAATAACAAAATACTTGCCTTAAAACTCAATGACAAAGCAAATAATGCAGAAACACTGAAGAAAATGATTGAAGTTCAGAGAACAGCTCATGAAAACACTCTCTATGAAAAAAGCAAAGAACTTGCCTTTAAAATCAAAGACAAAGCAAATGATGAAGAAACACTGAAGAAAGAGTTTGATTTGTTTTGGGAGCAGAGTGCAGATAAGATTATCTCAGACACGCCTCCAAACAATGACATTGACATAATGAGGGATGTGATAAAAATCCTCAGTGACATCTATGAGGGGCGTCTCCCTGCTGACCACTTTAAAAAGGACAGTGAGTTCATCAATATTTTCACTGTCTGGAGTTTTTTTGATTATGTTATTTTCAAAAAGTCCAAAAAAAAGGGGGTTAAAGAGGCTCTAAAGGATGTTTACAGAACAATGAAAGAAACATTTGGACATATTCGAACTCTGTCTCCAGAGAATGAAGCTCAAATTAGATCATTAGTCACAGATGTTGACCAGCATACAGACAAAATGATTCAGTCATTTAACATTTCAAAGATGGGCTACAACATCAGTGACATCCAACAACTCATAGATTACATCAAAGCAAGAGTAATTAAACATCAGGAAGGACCAGTTAAATATGAGTTCAAGAAGAAATTCTTTATCGATTTGGTTCTTTCCATTTGTAAAAAAGCAAACAAGATGATTGCTGACCAACACAGACTATTCAGAGATGCCAATGATCCTGTGATATATGTTGAGAAGAAGAGAGAAGAGTGCTATAGTATTTTCCAGAAATACTGTAATGAAGCTCCATCAGCTGCCATTTTTGGTGAGATCATCTGTCAGAAACTGAAAGAGCCCATTGAGCAGAGTGTCTACAAGAAGACTGCCAGAGATCTGACATACAAAATTATGAAAAACTGTGAATCACTGAATGGAAACAGATTAAATCTGGAGAAACACATCCTGAAGGCACTGGCAGAAGAGGAGGATTTTGTCAAATACATGGATTACCTGAATTATCCCAGGCTTCACTTCAAGAGTTTCATCAGAGATGAAGTCAGTCGGTACATCAACGATAAGTTCAGTGTCAGTGTTTTACCCAAGATGAAGGAGAACATTAAACTACTGCAGCAGAAGATCATGAAAGCAGCACATGAATCCACTGAACATGTTCAAGTCAACAGAGGAGATGCTGGTTTGTGGTTGAAGAGTTTCACACAGCAGCTCTCAGATGAGCTGATCTTCTCTGAAAAA